ACAACAACAATAACCATCCTTTATAAGGAACTCTGATAGCATAGTGGGTTATGATTGGGCTGCTAACCACAAGGTTAGCAGTTCAAATCTACCAGCCAATCTGCAAGAGAAAGATGAGACTTTTTGCTCCTGTACAGATTTACAGCCTAGGAAACCCTATACAGGGTCACTACGAGTCAGAACAGACTCAGTAGCACACAACACCATCAATCAACACCACCAATCACCATCCAGCTATGGCAAGTTATGGGATGACTGATCTTCCTCTGAAAGACATATTGAAGTCCAAACTCTCATACCTGTGAATGTGACCTTATGTTAATGAAAAAAGGTTCATAGCAGATGTAAGTTAAGATTCACCGTAGGGTGGGCCCTAATCGATTTTTGAGTGGTGTCTTTATAAAAAGAGATGAGACACAGACACGGAGAGGCACAGAGGGAAGATGACCAAGTGAAGAGGAGGCTGAGGCTGGAGTGATATTACCACAAGCCAGTGAACAGCTGGGGCTACCAGAAACAGACAAGGAAGGGTCCTGCACGAGAGCCTTCACAGAGCGAATATAGTCTTACTTGACACCCTGAACATGAACTTGTAGACTCCAGTGCTGGGAGACAATACATATTTGTTGCTTTAAGTTTCAGTTGGTGGCATGGTGTTGTATGAGCACTAGAAACCACATGTGATTATTATGCAACTCTCTGCTTTGTGAAGTAACAGAACTCCTTACCAGTTTCTCTTGTAAGAACTTCAGACATTGATTTATGTGGCTTAGCTGGTCTTTTTCATATTTGATGAACTGGTTTTCTATCCATTTTTTATTGTTTTCAACATTTTCGTAGAGATTATCTGAAAGTGCATTAAATCTAAGAAAAAAATATTTTGTTCAGTTTTAATAAGCAAACTTAAACAGTAACAAAAACTATCAACAAAACTTAGTGTGTTGAAAAAGTCAGTTGTTTTTAGGATGATTATGTTCAGTATGCCTGATCTAGTATTTATGAGTTTCTGCGGGAGGTAGATGGAGTACTGGTGGTGCAATGGTTAAGCACTCACCTGCTAAGTCAAGGTCAGTGGTTTGAGCCCACCAGTCGCAGTCTTCTATAAAGATTTACAGCCTTGGAAACCCTATCCTACAGGGTTTCTATGAGTTGGAATATAGTTGAAGGCAATGAGTAGGAAGTAGGGAAGCAAGAGCAGGGTACATTGAGTCTCTTTCCTGAGCTTCTGTTTAGCCTAATGGCTGACAATACCAGTCTACACATACACCCTATACCTTGATACACATACACACAGTGACAAGCAGCACACCACAGCCATTGAGAAGCATATGTTATGCCATGCAGGATTCTGCTCAGGACCCAGTAGCATTATTTGTGTTTGAGAGAAATACTTTGGTTAAGTCACATGGAGTGGGGAGTATTACTCTATGGCAGAAGTTGGCAAACTTTTTCTGTATGTAGTCAGTAAATGTTTGAAACTTTGTGGACTATGTAGTCTCCATTTTAACTTCTCAGCTCTGTCATTGCCATTGAAAAGCAGCCATAGATGATCTGGAAGCAAAACAATCTTGTTATTAGGTGACATTGAGTTGGTTCTGACTCATTGCAACCTATGTACAACACAATAGGACTAAGCACGGCCTGGTCCCACATCATCCTCACAACTCTTATGTAGGAGCCTGTTGCTGCCATTTTGTCAGTCTGTCTCAATGAGGGTCTTTCTCTTTTTGTTGACTCTCCATTTACAAGCAGGTTGTTCTTTTCCAGGGGCTGGTCTTTCTTGACAACATGTCCAAAGAATGAGAAATGAAGCCTTGCCATCCTTGCTTCTAAAGAGCGTTCTGGCTATACTTCCTTCAAGAAAGATTTGTTTATTCTGGCAGTCCATGGTACTTTCAATATTCTTCTCCAACACCACAATTCAAATGTATCAATTCTTCTACAGTCTTCTTTATTAATTGCCCAACTTTCACACACATATGAGGCAATTGAAAAGACCATGACTTGAGTCCTCAATCTTATCTCTTTACTCCTTTGCAACACATTTGCCTAATGCAATATGTCATTTCTTGACTGCTGCTTCCATGAGTGTTGATTGTGGATCCAAGTAAAATGAAGTCTTTGATAACTTCAATCTTTTATCCATTTATCATGATGCTATTTGTTGGTCCAGTTGTGAGGATTTTTTATATTTGACTCACAATGAGGTGTAATCCATACTGAAGACTGTATTCTTTGATCTTCATCAGAAAGTGCTTCAAGTCCCCTTTCTTTCAGCTAGCAGTGTTGTGTCATCTGCATATCACAAGTTGTTGATGATTCACCCTCCAATACTGATGTCACAGTCTTCATATAATGCAGTTTCTTGGATTATTTGCTTAGCATACAGATTGAATGAATATGGAAAGGATACAACCATGACACACACCTTTCCTGATTTTAAACCATTCAGCATTCCCTTGTTCTCTTCTAATGACTGGTCTATGTACAGGTTACTTAACACAATTAAATGTTCTGGAATAACTATTCTTTGCAATGTTATCCATAGTTTGTTATGATGCACACAGCCAGATGCCTTTGCATAGTCAATAAAACACAAGTAAACATCTTTCTGATATTCTCTACTTTTAGCCAAGATTCATCTGACACTAGCAGTTATATCCCTCACTCCATGTTCTCTTCTGAAGACATCATGAATTTCTGGCAGAACTGCTGAGAATCTTTCAAATACCAGAGTTATATCATTCCACTATCTGCTTGCCCCCCATATCATCCTGACAACACTGCAGCTGGTTGAAGAGTGCCAGAGACCTCAGGAGAACTAGAACAAAGCAATAGTGAACCACTGATGAAGAGGTAATAGCTGCAACACAACTTTGGGGATTACTGATATTTACGAAGTCCAGGGGATGAAAGAAATGGAAAGGAAGGCAAAAAGGAGAGCATGGAGCGTACTGTAATAGTTAGGGTTGTAGTCAACTTGACTAGGCCAGCATTTTCAGAGTTTTAGCTGTTGAGATATGCTTAATCCCACAGTGATGAAGCTTAATACAGGCATAGTTATCTCTATGATGAGTGGGTATGGATAGCCAATCAATTAAAAGTATGCTTCCTCGGGGATGTGGCCTGCTCCCTGTATAATGGACATATGGGAAAGGAATTTTCTCTCTCTCTTCCACTGGGGAACTGGGACTCTGCAATTGGAAACCATTTCCTTGATATTAAACTTATCTATAAAGATGAGGCTTTCTGCTCCCGTAAAGATTTACAGCCTCGGAAACCCTGTACAGGGTTGCTATGAGTCGGAACCGACTCCGCGGCATATAACAACAACAACAAATTTATTTCACTAGTTTTGCTACTCTAGAAAACCGGGCCTAACACAAGTGCCCTAGAAACCAAGAAGGGAAAATTTCAACTTGAAGGAAAATTATCAGCAGTGTCATAACTCTCTGAAATATCAAATCAGAAATTGACAAGTGCCACTAAATGTAGGAGTAGAGAGACCAGTGATGACCGTGGCAAAAACAGCTGCAGTGGAATGGAAGGAGTCTCATAGCATGTGGAGTGAACCGCAAGTAAGGAAAGGCCCAACAAGTTCTATGAGATCATTTTCATTTTATTTAGAATGCTGATTTCAACATGGGTGATTTTGTCACAATAGGCAGGTGCCACTGGCATAGCACAGCTTTCACCTCAAAGAATTACCTAACCAAAATATAATAGGCCAAGGTGGAAAAAATCTGGTTTAGATGATGAAACCAAGGAATGGGCAAAGCAAGATAGTTTTCCAATAGTTTTGTCAATACAGTTGTTGTAACTATTAAATGCTGTAGAGTTAGTTCTGATTCACAATGACCCTGAATAGGGTTTCCAATGAGTAGCTGGTGGGTTTAAGCCTCCGACATTGTGATTAGCAGTCCAATGCTTACATTTAAATTCTGATCGTCATTACTCTAACATATCCTATTTCTCTTCATATAGAAAGGGACATTTTTCACATAGAAAAGATAACTCTGGCACAGATGAGCAACTCAACATTGAAGAAGAAATTGTTTGCTCCTCCTGTTCTTAGTCCCATAACCCCACATTACCTGTGTGGCTGGCTAACAGTTGTTGGATCTCAGCAAGCAGCCCACCAAACTGATAAGGAAATCTCATTTTATCTGTGTTTCTTCCATTCAGAACAGTCTTCCCCAGAATATTTGCTGATCTCTGTCCTTATGTTATTCAAATCATTTGAGGTCTGCAGCAATGTTGTGTAAGCACTGGTTGGCAATTCAAACCCACTAATCGCTTCTTGGAAACCCTATACAGGGTTGCTGAGTTAGAACCGACTAAACGACATTTTAACAACAACAGTCTTCTTCAGTTCTCATCGCTCTACTTCCCTGTTCAACTGTCAGTTTACCACCGAAGTTTTTTTTTTGTTTAATTCTAAAAAAATTTTTAAAGACCCCCCTCCTCCCCATCTGACACTCCCTTTCCCTTACCCTACTTAATCCCCTCCCCCAATGTACATCACCATATGATTCATTACATAATAGTCTATGTATGGTCTCCTTCACTAGAACTGAGCTCTATGAATGGAAGGATTTTTCTTTGCTCATAGTTGGGAATAATGCCTGGAATCCAAAAGGTGTTCAATAAGCAATTGTTAATTAAATGAACAAAGGGGGCATTCCTTCTTGTAAAATACCTTTGACTAGAGCTGCTGACAAATAACAAATCATAGGACTGTCCAATTTTTTTTAAAGCCTGTCTAATCTGCTCCAGTTTCATCTTTCCTTCGCTGTTACTGGAGGAAGTGTTAGTTAACCGTGATGGCTAAGGGGGTGCAGCAAATCCCCAGACAAGCAAGAGGTTGCGTTACAATTGTTGGAGAATCCAGTTTTCAGTGTTCACTTTTACTGTATAAATAAGTGGGAGCATTTGCTTTCATCACTGATAAAATATTAACATGCCTCTGAAAACCAAGAAATCATTAAATGTGCCCAAGTGTAATGGCTTTGAAAGAGAGTATCAGCAGGTAAAATTCTGATACTAAACAAAACCATAAAGAATGAATTCCTATTTGTGATATTTTTAAGATAAGATTTTGCTTGAATGTTGTAGATAACAATCAGAAGTCAGGACCTGCCTGTGGTAGTTTATTAAAATGAGAGAACACTTTAAAAACATGTTCTTCTGGAAAGAAAAAAATGGGTAGGATGAAATAAAAATGTATATGCTTTTTTTTTCTTAGACTTTTTCCTAACACAATGAGGTGATTTATCTTATAAGGAGAATTACTTTTTTGTTAATTATAGAATTTACAGTTACAGTATCAACAAAATGAATTTATCTTAGGTGACAACATCTTTTAGTTCTCAAATCTATTCCAATAGTTGTGGGAGTTTTTCTATTAGATGGAGATGAATACATTGATAAACTTTTAAATTATGATGAAAATATTTTTTACTTTGTTTTCATATTGGTGGAATCAGGTAAATTGCACATCAAAGATGAATAAACAGGAGCAGTTCACAAAAGGGCTCGGAAAAATTTAACAGGGATTTATAAAGCCAGGGAAGAGAGCTCTGGTAAGGGTGAATAGTGAGGTCAGAGTGTAGGACTTGGAGCAAACATGGTGGTGAGCACCACAGTTACGGTTAGCAAAGATGACGTAATTTCATTATGAATAATTCTTTCAGTTCACTTGTGTCTCAAACCCAGTATCTTCAATTAACATCTAAAAGACATAAAAATTTGAATTCCTGGATACTATTAATATTAATGGAGTCCAGGTGTGGTGCTGTAGGATAATGCACTGGACTTCAACATCAGTTTGAACCATGAGGTCGGTGGTTCAAACCCACTATTTA